TCGGTCATCTGAATAAATGTTTCTGTAATGTATACACAAGTCGTCTGTTTTCTCTACAGTGTTTCTTCCTTACAGCTAATAATATATGGGCGACAGCAGCATCGCAATATTGGCCAAATCCCAAGATTTCCGAACATGAGACATAAATTCATATGGATATTGTTAAAAAGTGAATGCTGCCTCTATATTGCTGTGCTGCTGTGTCCCAATTTCATGATCTGCACTTAGCAGAAGATTTCTAAATAGGTGGGGTTACCTTAAGATCAGACACTTCTAAATGTTTATGTGGCGACAATTGTGACACGGGATATTCTCCGAGGACAGCTCTCTGATACTTTGTTATCTGGAATAAATTTTATATTCCAATATAATAGCTAATCGTTTCTAATGTAACAATAATTGTGGCTTCCTTTATAAAGGAGTGCGAATCGAGAATTGCCTTTCTTCTCTAAAACACAAGTGTCGCCACATGGGATATATTACGAGCACTTCACCCAACTAATAGCAGTAGTCGGACAAGGGATTGAGAGTGATCTCCCTTCGCCTCAGTCAATATTGGATTCCACTCGTCTTATCACCTTACTGCTGGTCTTTTGGCCCGTGGTCTTCAGAAATTGCAGAGGGCATGCTTTTATACATAGGCCGAGGCCAGGCGCAAGTAGAAAGCCTATATTGACACCCACTTGTATGCAAGAGTAGATTAATATATATATATATATATATATGACGTAATATTCGTATCTGGCATTCTACAAAAATACCTAAATGATACAAGGGGTCTGAATTCTACCCCTGTACGTCCACATCAAGGTTTTCAAAATGGGACGGTCAATAGGATTTCTCTGACTGTGAGTGTGTGGGTGGCTAGGATTTTTTCAGAAAAAAATATATTGTCTCCAAAGTTGATTGAAAACTAAATATGCTTCCATCTGTTGGACAAAAAGAACATGTCGGCCACCAAAAATACGTTGTTGCAAGGTGGGTTTTTGAAAAATGTTTTATTTAGGCTCATAGTTTATATTAACTGATTTTGCATTTGTAGCTGAAAAATATCTAGTCTCCATACAAAATCCAACGTCGCCCACTCCCCCTTCCAAAGGAACATGAAATGGTCGGCCCCTCAGGCCTAGTGTAGTAAAAACCAATATGCTTGTCATTTATCTTTCTCTCCTATTAGCTATTTTCTTTTGTCGTCGTGTTTCCAGATTAGAAATCAAACCAAATAAGAACTGTCGCTGCACACGTTGGAAAATACCAGTACCATTGAACTTTTATTTTATCCCTGTAGGCTTGGGAATAATTCCCAAATCCCACTTGGATTATCAGAGATTTGCATTCTTACTAGCCTGCTAGCCCGTGTCAGTTTGTCGAATGTAAAAGGTATTGTGAAGGCTAGTATAATAGAGGGTCGTTATATGGTATCGCTATTCGGCATAGCAAACGTTTAAGGTTAATGTCCATCTCATAGTGAACAAAATTCACCCTGTTTCGGGTAATGGAGGCACGAAAAACACCCAGTTTCACCTGCACAATTTTTTCAAACTCTGAACTGATGTAGGCAACGTTTCAGTTGTAAGATACAACTTAATACCGGTGTTCAGACGAAATAAACCCGGCAGTTTTCACCCTTGGCAATGCCATTAGGCTTTACCACGCCGGAAGCTGGCGATGAGCCTCGTTCTGACTCATCGAACTCCGTAACGTAGTTACCGTTGCCGTTATCGACGTCCCTTCTGTTTTCAACAGAAAAACGATCGCTTTTGCTCCGCTGACCTCTACGTTTCGCTCACTGCTGTATCATTCCAAGTGTGTCTTCTTCCAAGATGAATACAAGGCTTCACATTCAAGGTATTTAAGATCACAATTATTCCACTTAACAGTATTAACATGCTAAATTAGACGTGAAATTGGTCGTTGTTAGGCAGCAGTATCGGGACTGAAGATGGCGGCCGCCATTTGCAATTGTCATAACTGGAAATGTTAGATTGTAAACTTGACATGTGGTTCTCAGATGAAACCTGTTCGTACATTATAGTGTCGGGCGATGTTGTACAGATGTAAGATAACCCGTATTCCGTGAAAGGCAGCTGTTTGGCCCATTTTATTGGTTAAATGTCGTCTTGCAGCACATCCCGTAACCCTACATACACTTGGACTTCGAGGTGTCAAAGGGCCGAGGTCGAGTGGCATACTGTAGCTGTCAGAAGTCATGAATTGTGATTTTTTGAACGTAGCCGTCGGCGTACATTTAACTGAGGCTAGCTTTCGTTTTTCTTTTTCAGCTCGGGAGAACATAATTCGCTATTATGGCACTCCTGCGGCTGTGAGTTTGTGGCCGTCTCAGGATGAGGAGTCCGACTGTGTATGTAGTTTTACATGCCCACCCTATAAATTCTTCCGTCTAGTATAGCTGATTTGTTGCACATTAAGTCTGCCCAGTCCCTATAATAAAGTGTGAGTCGTTTTCTTTGCAAAAGTATCCCGTATTTCTGTCTCACTTGACTTCCTTTGTCCCTCCCTCCACCCCTCGATGTGTAGCGTTCCCTGGCTGTGTCCCCTTCCCGTTGTCCCGACCCCCTGAGCGTTTTCACTCCGTTCTGGGCCCGCCCTGTCTACGGTGAGACGCTCCCCGCCCCCGTCACCATCAACCACGCCGCTTACTACCCTGCCCCAAGTGACGACGATGACAGTGACTACTGGGTGTACGAGGACGAGGACGACCACAGCTTTTTGGATGACAGAGAGATTCATCCCCTTAGAAAGGCGCTGACGAGAGCGGCTGCCTTCTTCAGGAAGATCTTCTCTTAGACTCCTTATCCTTTTAATGTCTGAATGTGTGCAAGTGAGTGAAAAATGAGGAGGTGTGTATGTATGTATGTATGTATGTATGTATGTATGTATGTATGTATGTATGTATGTATGTATGTATGTGTGCGTTTGTGTGAGAGTAAATATAAGTTTGAATGAACATGCATGTGTGTGTATGTATAAGTGTGTGAGAAAGAGAGACTGAATGAATATGTATGTTTGTGTGTGTGTGTGTGTGTGTGTGTGTGTATTGTGTGCGTGTGTGAGAGTAAATGAAAGATTGAATCGGCATGTCTGTCTGTCTGTCTGTATGCATGTATGTGTGTGTATTTGTGTGTGAGTGTGAGAGAGTGAATGAGCATGTATGTATAATAATGTGTGTATGTATGTTTGTATGTGTGAGAGGGAGAGTGGATGTATGTTAGAGGTGAGGGTTAGAGTGAATGAACGAGCATACATGAATGAGAGAGAGAGAGAGAGAGAGAGTGAGAGAGAGAGAGAGAGAGACTACCATTCCATATACCCGCTCTTAGCGTATTTTTGGCGTATTTTTAGGCTCACAGTTTTGGCCCAACTTTCAGTTTCCTTTCGGCAAACCTCTTGGCTTATTAGCATGGCACAAGACCATACTTTCTATACAATTTTGGCCCGTTTTTGGATCTCCCTTGAGGCATATTACTTTCGACTTTCGGTCATCTGAATAAATGTTTCTGTAATGTATACACAAGTCGTCTGTTTTCTCTACAGTGTTTCTTCCTTACAGCTAATAATATATGGGCGACAGCAGCATCGCAATATTGGCCAAATCCCAAGATTTCCGAACATGAGACATAAATTCATATGGATATTGTTAAAAAGTGAATGCTGCCTCTATATTGCTGTGCTGCTGTGTCCCAATTTCATGATCTGCACTTAGCAGAAGATTTCTAAATAGGTGGGGTTACCTTAAGATCAGACACTTCTAAATGTATATGTGGCGACAATTGTGACACGGGATATTCTCCGAGGACAGCTCTCTGATACTTTGTTATCTGGAATAAATTTTATATTCCAATATAATAGCTAATCGTTTCTAATGTAACAATAATTGTGGCTTCCTTTATAAAGGAGTGCGAATCGAGAATTGCCTTTCTTCTCTAAAACACAAGTGTCGCCACATGGGATATATTACGAGCACTTCACCCAACTAATAGCAGTAGTCGGACAAGGGATTGAGAGTGATCTCCCTTCGCCTCAGTCAATATTGGATTCCACTCGTCTCATCACCTTACTGCTGGTCTTTTGGCCCGTGGTCTTCAGAAATTGCAGAGGGCATGCTTTTATACATAGGCCGAGGCCAGGCGCAAGTAGAAAGCCTATATTGACACCCACTTGTATGCAAGAGTAGATTAATATATATATATATATATATATATATATATATATATATATATATATATATATATATATATATATATATATATATATGACGTAATATTCGTATCTGGCATTCTACAAAAATACCTAAATGATACAAGGGGTCTGAATTCTACCCCTGTACGTCCACATCAAGGTTTTCAAAATGGGACGGTCAATAGGATTTCTCTGACTGTGAGTGTGTGGGTGGCTAGGCTTTTTTCAGAAAAAAATATATTGTCTCCAAAGTTGATTGAAAACTAAATATGCTTCCATCTGTTGGACAAAAAGAACATGTCGGCCACCAAAAATACGTTGTTGCAAGGTGGGTTTTTGAAAAATGTTTTATTTAGGCTCATAGTTTATATTAACTGATTTTGCATTTGTAGCTGCAAAATATCTAGTCTCCATACAAAATCCAACGTCGCCCACTCCCCCTTCCAAAGGAACATGAAATGGTCGGCCCCTCAGGCCTAGTGTAGTAAAAACCAATATGCTTGTCATTTATCTTTCTCTCCTATTAGCTATTTTCTGTGGTCGTCGTGTTTCCAGATTAGAAATCAAACCAAATAAGAACTGTCGCTGCACACGTTGGAAAATACCAGTACCATTGAACTTTTATTTTATCCCTGTAGGCTTGGGAATAATTCCCAAATCCCACTTGGATTATCAGAGATTTGCATTCTTACTAGCCTGCTAGCCCGTGTCAGTTTGTCGAATGTAAAAGGTATTGTGAAGGCTAGTATAATAGAGGGTCGTTATATGGTATCACTATTCGGCATAGCAAACGTTTAAGGTTAATGTCCATCTCATAGTGAACAAAATTCACCCTGTTTCGGGTAATGGAGGCACGAAAAACACCCAGTTTCACCTGCACAATTTTTTCAAACTCTGAACTGATGTAGGCAACGTTTCAGTTGTAAGATACAACTTAATACCGGTGTTCAGACGAAATAAACCCGGCAGTTTTCACCCTTGGCAATGCCATTAGGCTTTACCACGCCGGAAGCTGGCGATGAGCCTCGTTCTGACTCATCGAACTCCGTAACGTAGTTACCGTTGCCGTTATCGACGTCCCTTCTGTTTTCAACAGAAAAACGATCGCTTTTGCTCCGCAGACCTCTACGTTTCGCTCACTGCTGTATCATTCCAAGTGTGTCTTCTTCCAAGATGAATACAAGGCTTCACATTCAAGGTATTTAAGATCACAATTATTCCACTTAACAGTATTAACATGCTAAATTAGACGTGAAATTGGTCGTTGTTAGGCAGCAGTATCGGGACTGAAGATGGCGGCCGCCATTTGCAATTGTCATAACTTGAAATGTTAGATTGTAAACTTGACATGTGGTTCTCAGATGAAACCTGTTCGTACATTATAGTGTCGGGCGATGTTGTACAGATGTAAGATAACCCGTATTCCGTGAAAGGCAGCTGTTTGGCCCATTTTATTGGTTAAATGTCGTCTTGCAGCACATCCCGTAACCCTACATACACTTGGACTTCGAGGTGTCAAAGGGCCGAGGTCGAGTGGCATACTGTAGCTGTCAGAAGTCATGAATTGTGATTTTTTGAACGTAGCCGTCGGCGTACATTTAACTGAGGCTAGCTTTCGTTTTTCTTTTTCAGCTCGGGAGGACATAATTCGCTATTATGGCACTCCTGCGGCTGTGAGTTTGTGGCCGTCTCAGGATGAGGAGTCCGACTGTGTATGTAGTTTTACATGCCCACCCTATAAATTCTTCCGTCTAGTATAGCTGATTTGTTGCACATTAAGTCTGCCCAGTCCCTATAATAAAGTGTGAGTCGTATTCTTTGCAAAAGTATCCCGTATTTCTGTCTCACTTGACTTCCTTTGTCCCTCCCTCCACCCCTCGATGTGTAGCGTTCCCTGGCTGTGTCCCCTTCCCGTTGTCCCGACCCCCTGAGCGTTTTCACTCCGTTCTGGGCCCGCCCTGTCTACGGTGAGACGCTCCCCGCCCCCGTCACCATCAACCACGCCGCTTACTATCCTGCCCCAAGTGACGACGATGACAGTGACTACTGGGTGTACGAGGACGAGGACGACCACAGCTTTTTGGATGACAGAGAGATTCATCCCCTTAGAAAGGCGCTGACGAGAGCGGCTGCCTTCTTTAGGAAGATCTTCTCTTAGACTCCTTATCCTTTTAATGTCTGAATGTGTGCAAGTGAGTGAATGAATGAGCAGGTGTGTATGTATGTATGTATGTATGTATGTATGTATGTATGTATGTATGTATGTATGTATGTATGTATGTATGTATGTATGTATGTATGTATGTATGTATGTATGTATGTGTGCGTTTGTGTGAGAGTAAATATAAGTTTGAATGAACATGCATGTGTGTGTATGTATAAGTGTGTGAGAGTAAATGAAAGATTGAATCGGCATGTCTGTCTGTCTGTCTGTATGCATGTATGTGTGTGTATTTGTGTGTGAGTGTGAGAGAGTGAATGAGCATGTATGTATAATAATGTGTGTATGTATGTTTGTATGTGTGAGAGGGAGGTGGATGCATGTTAGAGGTGAGGGTTAGAGTGAATGAACGAGCATACATGTATGAGGAGAGAGAGAGAGAGAGAGAGAGAGAGAGAGAGAGAGAGAGAGAGAGAGAGAGAGAGAGAGAGAGACTACCATTCCATATACCCGCTCTTAGCGTATTTTTGGCGTATTTTTAGGCTCACAGTTTTGGCCCAACTTTCAGTTTCCTTTCGGCAAACCTCTTGGCTTATTAGCATGGCACAAGACCATACTTTCTATACAATTTTGGCCCGTTTTTGGATCTCCCTTGAGGCATATTACTTTCGACTTTCGGTCATCTGAATAAATGTTTCTGTAATGTATACACAAGTCGTCTGTTTTCTCTACAGTGTTTCTTCCTTACAGCTAATAATATATGGGCGACAGCAGCATCGCAATATTGGCCAAATCCCAAGATTTCCGAACATGAGACATAAATTCATATGGATATTGTTAAAAAGTGAATGCTGCCTCTATATTGCTGTGCTGCTGTGTCCCAATTTCATGATCTGCACTTAGCAGAAGATTTCTAAATAGGTGGGGTTACCTTAAGATCAGACACTTCTAAATGTTTATGTGGCGACAATTGTGACACGGGATATTCTCCGAGGACAGCTCTCTGATACTTTGTTATCTGGAATAAATTTTATATTCCAATATAATAGCTAATCGTTTCTAATGTAACAATAATTGTGGCTTCCTTTATAAAGGAGTGCGAATCGAGAATTGCCTTTCTTCTCTAAAACACAAGTGTCGCCACATGGGATATATTACGAGCACTTCACCCAACTAATAGCAGTAGTCGGACAAGGGATTGAGAGTGATCTCCCTTCGCCTCAGTCAATATTGGATTCCACTCGTCTCATCACCTCACTGCTGGTCTTTTGGCCCGTGGTCTTCAGAAATTGCAGAGGGCATGCTTTTATACATAGGCCGAGGCCAGGCGCAAGTAGAAAGCCTATATTGACACCCACTTGTATGCAAGAGTAGATTAATATATATATATATATATATATATGACGTAATATTCGTATCTGGCATTCTACAAAAATACCTAAATGATACAAGGGGTCTGAATTCTACCCCTGTACGTCCACATCAAGGTTTTCAAAATGGGACGGTCAATAGGATTTCTCTGACTGTGAGTGTGTGGGTGGCTAGGATTTTTTCAGAAAAAAATATATTGTCTCCAAAGTTGATTGAAAACTAAATATGCTTCCATCTGTTGGACAAAAAGAACATGTCGGCCACCAAAAATACGTTGTTGCAAGGTGGGTTTTTGAAAAATGTTTTATTTAGGCTCATAGTTTATATTAACTGATTTTGCATTTGTAGCTGCAAAATATCTAGTCTCCATACAAAATCCAACGTCGCCCACTCCCCCTTCCAAAGGAACATGAAATGGTCGGCCCCTCAGGCCTAGTGTAGTAAAAACCAATATGCTTGTCATTTATCTTTCTCTCCTATTAGCTATTTTCTGTGGTCGTCGTGTTTCCAGATTAGAAATCAAACCAAATAAGAACTGTCGCTGCACACGTTGGAAAATACCAGTACCATTGAACTTTTATTTTATTCCTGTAGGCTTGGGAATAATTCCCAAATCCCACTTGGATTATCAGAGATGTGCATTCTTACTAGCCTGCTAGCCCGTGTCAGTTTGTCGAATGTAAAAGGTATTGTGAAGGCTAGTATAATAGAGGGTCGTTATATGGTATCGCTATTCGGCATAGCAAACGTTTAAGGTTAATGTCCATCTCATAGTGAACAAAATTCACCCTGTTTCGGGTAATGGAGGCACGAAAAACACCCAGTTTCACCTGCACAATTTTTTCAAACTCTGAACTGATGTAGGCAACGTTTCAGTTGTAAGATACAACTTAATACCGGTGTTCAGACGAAATAAACCCGGCAGTTTTCACCCTTGGCAATGCCATTAGGCTTTACCACGCCGGAAGCTGGCGATGAGCCTCGTTCTGACTCATCGAACTCCGTAACGTAGTTACCGTTGCCGTTATCGACGTCCCTTCTGTTTTCAACAGAAAAACGATCGCTTTTGCTCCGCTGACCTCTACGTTTCGCTCACTGCTGTATCATTCCAAGTGTGTCTTCTTCCAAGATGAATACAAGGCTTCACATTCAAGGTATTTAAGATCACAATTATTCCACTTAACAGTATTAAGATGTTAAATTAGACGTGAAATTGGTCGTTGTTAGGCAGCAGTATCGGGACTGAAGATGGCGGCCGCCATTTGCAATTGTCATAACTGAAAATGTTAGATTGTAAACTTGACATGTGGTTCTCAGATGAAACCTGTTCGTACATTATAGTGTCGGGCGATGTTGTACAGATGTAAGATAACCCGTATTCCGTGAAAGGCAGCTGTTTGGCCCATTTTATTGGTTAAATGTCGTCTTGCAGCACAGCCCGTAACCCTACATACACTTGGACTTCGAGGTGTCAAAGGGCCGAGGTCGAGTGGCATACTGTAGCTGTCAGAAGTCATGAATTGTGATTTTTTGAACGTAGCCGTCGGCGTACATTTAACTGAGGCTAGCTTTCGTTTTTCTTTTTCAGCTCGGGAGGACATAATTCGCTATTATGGCACTCCTGCGGCTGTGAGTTTGTGGCCGTCTCAGGATGAGGAGTCCGACTGTGTATGTAGTTTTACATGCCCACCCTATAAATTCTTCCGTCTAGTATAGCTGATTTGTTGCACATTAAGTCTGCCCAGTCCCTATAATAAAGTGTGATTCGTTTTCTTTGCAAAAGTATCCCGTATTTCTATCTCACTTGACTTCCTTTGTCCCTCCCTCCACCCCTCGATGTGTAGCGTTCCCTGGCTGTGTCCCCTTCCCGTTGTCCCGACCCCCTGAGCGTTTTCACTCCGTTCTGGGCCCGCCCTGTCTACGGTGAGACGCTCCCCGCCCCCGTCACCATCAACCACGCCGCTTACTATCCTGCCCCAAGTGACGACGATGACAGTGACTACTGGGTGTACGAGGACGAGGACGACCACAGCTTTGTGGATGACAGAGAGATTCATCCCCTTAGAAAGGCGCTGACGAGAGCGGCTGCCTTCTTTAGGAAGATCTTCTCTTAGACTCCTTATCCTTTTAATGTCTGAATGTGTGCAAGTGAGTGAATGAATGAGCAGGTGTGTATGTATGTATGTATGTATGTATGTATGTATGTATGTATGTATGTATGTATGTATGTATGTATGTATGTATGTATGTATGTATGTATGTGTGTATGTGTGCGTTTGTGTGAGAGTAAATATAAGTTTGAATGAACATGCATGTGTGTGTATGTATAAGTGTGTGAGAAAGAGAGACTGAATGAATATGTATGTTTATGTGTGTGTGTGTGTGTATTGTGTGCGTGTGTGAGAGTAAATGAAAGATTGAATCGGCATGTCTGTCTGTCTGTCTGTATGCATGTATGTGTGTGTATTTGTGTGTGAGTGTGAGAGAGTGAATGAGCATGTATGTATAATAATGTGTGTATGTATGTTTGTATGTGTGAGAGGGAGAGTGGATGTATGTTAGAGGTGAGGGTTAGAGTGAATGAACGAGCATACATGTATGAGAGAGAGAGAGAGAGAGAGAGAGAGAGAGAGAGAGAGAGAGAGACTACCATTCCATATACCCGCTCTTAGCGTATTTTTGGCGTATTTTTAGGCTCACAGTTTTGGCCCAACTTTCAGCTTCCTTTCGGCAAACCTCTTGGCTTATTAGCATGGCACAAGACCATACTTTCTATACAATTTTGGCCCGTTTTTGGATCTCCCTTGAGGCATATTACTTTCGACTTTCGGTCATCTGAATAAATGTTTCTGTAATGTATACACAAGTCGTCTGTTTTCTCTACAGTGTTTCTTCCTTACAGCTAATAATATATGGGCGACAGCAGCATCGCAATATTGGCCAAATCCCAAGATTTCCGAACATGAGACATAAATTCATATGGATATTGTTAAAAAGTGAATGCTGCCTCTATATTGCTGTGCTGCTGTGTCCCAATTTCATGATCTGCACTTAGCAGAAGATTTCTAAATAGGTGGGGTTACCTTAAGATCAGACACTTCTAAATGTTTATGTGGCGACAATTGTGACACGGGATATTCTCCGAGGACAGCTCTCTGATACTTTGTTATCTGGAATAAATTTTATATTCCAATATAATAGCTAATCGTTTCTAATGTAACAATAATTGTGGCTTCCTTTATAAAGGAGTGCGAATCGAGAATTGCCTTTCTTCTCTAAAACACAAGTGTCGCCACATGGGATATATTACGAGCACTTCACCCAACTAATAGCAGTAGTCGGACAAGGGATTGAGAGTGATCTCCCTTCGCCTCAGTCAATATTGGATTCCACTCGTCTCATCACCTCACTGCTGGTCTTTTGGCCCGTGGTCTTCAGAAATTGCAGAGGGCATGCTTTTATACATAGGCCGAGGCCAGGCGCAAGTAGAAAGCCTATATTGACACCCACTTGTATGCAAGAGTAGATTAATATATATATATATATATATGACGTAATATTCGTATCTGGCATTCTACAAAAAATACCTAAATGATACAAGGGGTCTGAATTCTACCCCTGTACGTCCACATCAAGGTTTTCAAAATGGGACGGTCAATAGGATTTCTCTGACTGTGAGTGTGTGGGTGGCTAGGACTTTTTCAGAAAAAAATATATTGTCTCCAAAGTTGATTGAAAACTAAATATGCTTCC